TACATAGGTTCAGTTAAGTACAACATTTCACCCTCAGACGGATGGATAGTCTGAGCGCACTATTCAGATATTGGAAGACATGCTATGTCTTGTGTTATAGATTTCGGGGGTTCATGGGATCAGTTTCTGCCACTTGCAGAGTTTGCCTATAATAACAGATACCAATCGAGCATTCAGATGGCTCTGTATGAGGCTTTGTATGGGAGATGGTGTCGGTCTCCAGTGGGTTGGTTTTGAGCCGAGTGAGGCTAGGGTATTAGGTACTGATTTAGTTCAGGATACTTTGGAAAAGGTTAAATTGATTCAGGATCGACTTCGCATGGCGCAGTCTAGACAGAAGAGTTATGCCGGCCAGAAGGTTCGCGATGTTGCTTACATGGTAGGGGAGAAGTTATTACTCCGAGTTTTGCCTATGAAGGGTGTTATGAGATTCAGGAAGAAGGGCAAGTTGAGTCCTAGGTATATTGGGCCTTTTGAAATACTTAAGAAGATTGGAGAGATGGCTTATGAACTTGCATTGCCGCCTAGTCTATCGGGTGTTCATCCAGGGTTTCATGTATCTATGCTTCGGAAGTATGTCGGAGATCCGTCTCATGTTTTGGATTTCAGTATGGTTCAGGTGGATGGTGATTTGACTTATAATGTGGAACCGATGGCCATTTTGGACCGGCAAGTTAGACAGTTGAGATCAAAGAATATAGCTTTAGTAAAAATGCAGTGGAGAGGCCAGCCAGTCGGAGAAGCCACCTGGGAGAATGAGTGGGAGATGTGGAGCAAATATCCATACCTATTTGAGACTCCAGGTATGATTCTAAACCCGTTCGAGGATGAACATTTGTTTAAGAGGGGGAGAATGTAACGACCTGGCCGGTCGTTTTGAGTATTACGGCCTCGTTCCCCCATTTACTGCTCATTTTGTGCTTTATAGCTGTTATGTGACTTATCGGGGTAGTTGGTTATGGTCCGGTGAGGTTTCGGAATGAATTGAAACACTTAGTTCCAAGGTTTAAAGCTTAAGTTAAAAAGGTTGATCGGATATTGAGTTATATGTAAACGACCCCGAAAAAGTGTTTGATGATTCCAATAGCTTTGTATGATGATTTTGAACTTAGGAGTGTGTCCGGATAATTATTTGGAAGTTCGTAGTTGATTTTGGCTTGAAATGGCGAAATTAGGAAATTGAAAGTTTGGAAGTTTGACTGGGAGTTGACTTTTTGATATCGGGGTCGCAATCCAATTCTGAAAATTAGAATAGGTCTGTTATGTCATTTATGACTTGTGTGCAAAATTTGAGGTCAATTGGACTTGATTTGATAGGTTTCGGCATCGAAAGTAGAAGTTGGAATTCGTTAGTTTTCATTAGTGCGATTCGTGATTTTAGCGTTGTTTGATGTGATTTGAGACATCAACTAAGTTCGTATGATGTTTTGCGGCATCAAGGTTGCAGAATCGGAGGTAGTGGAGGTCTTGACAAACCACAAAAGCGGTTTGTTTCTCGCACCTGCGAGACCGCAAAAGCGGCTAAGTGAATCGCATGTGCGGAACCCCTGGGCAGTATACATTTCGAAGGGGTTCCGAATTTTTGCCATTTTTGGACCTTTCAAGCATGGTTTGGGGTGATTTTTCAGAGAGAATTCATGAAAAATCTTGAGGTAAGTTACTTGTGATCATTGTTAGTTAATAATATTGAACTACCATCGATTATCCCCACTAGATTACGTGTTTTTGAGGTATAATTCGAGAAATTGGGCTTAAGGATTTGAAAATAAAATTTGAGATTTGGAGGCTGAGTTGATGTCGGAATTTGGTAAATTTGGTATGGTTGGACTCGTGGTTGAATGAGCTTTCATATTTTGTAACTTTGTTGGGTTCTGAGACGTGGGCCCCACTGACGATATTTTAGTTGAATTTCGGATTTTTATTGGAAAATTTAGTATTTTCATATGGAATTGATTCCTATAATTTGTGTTGACTGTATCGAATTAATTATGACTAGATACGAGATATTCGGAGGCCAATTCGCGAGGCAAAGGCTTATTGGAATAAAGAATTTCACGATTTGAGGTAAGTAACACTTCTAAACTTGGTTCTGAGGGTATGAATTCCTGAATTTCGTGTTATATGAATTATTTGGAGGTAACACACATGCTAGGTGACGACCGTGTGGGCGTGCACCATAGAAATTGCGACTTAATTATTTCTGTGGAGTTGCATAATCAATTAATGATGTCATTATCCACATATCCTATACGTGTTAGAGAAATTGAGTTGAGAGTCGTATTAAAGATCATGTTTAGGTTACGTGCCGATATTTTTGGGACCCACGGAGGTCGTATTATTGTTGAATTAATTGTTTCAAAATGTAAATTTCATACTCTGTCACATCTATTATTTGCACATCATATCTCAGTCTCTGTTGTCATTCATTGATACATCATACCACCATGTCGGGTTGATTTTTATGCCATCGTGAGCCCGAGAGACTAGAGATTGTGAGTGATATTTATGAGATCGGGTTGCACGCCGCATCATGTTTTATTTATTTATGTGTGGATCTGGCTATTATAGCGCTTGGGCTGAAGGAGCCCCTCCGGAGTCTGCACCCCCAACAGTGAGCACGGTTGATTTTTTATTGAGGGATGGATCTTTCCCGAATCATTTATATTTTGGGATGGATTTTTTCTGGGCATGGATCTTGCCCGAATCATTTATACTTTGGGATGAATTTTTTCTAGCATGGATCTTGACTAATTATCTATATTGAGGGATGTATCTTCCCTATGTTGGATTGGCCTTATACAGTACTGAGTGACTGACTTTCACTGATATATATTTGGGGATGGATCTTCTCTGGGCTGGATTGGCCATATATAGTATTGAGTGATTGATTATTCTGAGAGTGTGAGTATACAAGGTTTCCATTGTGGTACATCACATACATCATACATTTGGCATGTAGATATAGAGATGTCATATTCCTCTTATCATGTAGAATTTATCCATTTTACTTGTATTGGGCCTATTTGTTGAACCTGAGAACATGCCTATATTTTTGTACTGTTGTTTCTATATTGGACTGTACATATTGAGCTCGTCACTACTTTCAGTCCAAAGGTTAGTCTTGTTACTTATTGAGTACATGGGGTCGGTTGTACTCATACTACACTCTCCACGTCGTGTGCAGATCCAGGTACTTCCGGATACGGCGGTTGCTAGATTTCGGAGTTTCATCTGTTGGAGACTATCGAGGTAGCTACTTGGCGTCTGCAAACCTTGACTCTCTTTCCTTTTTGTTATGTGTATTGTTCTATATTTTCAGACAGTATTTGTATCAGTCAGACTATGTTATCATTTAGATGCTCATCTACTCAGTGACACCAGATTTTGGGAGTATATTTATATCAGTATTTGTGAGATTTTCTAATAAATTTAAATATTATGTTTTTAAATTTAAAATATTATAGTATTTTATTGAGGTTATCGGCTTGCCTAGTATTGAGTAGGCGTCATCACTACATGTGAATTTTGAGTCGTGACAAAAATCGACCGCCTACCGACCGAAGTCGGTCGAAAATGTTCAATTGATTTTCCAGAAATTCAAATTTACCGACCGACTTCGGTCGGAATTTTTTATGTTAAATTTTAAATATTTTAATAATACTGACTGATTTCGGTCGGAATTGAACAATTTTTAAAAAATGAATAATTAAAATTCCGACCGAAGTCGGTCGCTAATTTTAAAAATAATTAACAATTATTTTCAAGAATACCGACCGAATTTGGTGGGTAAGTTTAGTTTGTGTCATATTATTTAGTCAAAGTGCATTGAAAATTACCGATCGATTTCGGTCGGAAACATCGACCGTCTGCGGTCGATATCCGTTAGCGGCAATTGTTTTTTCGACGAATTGAAAAAGGTCAGAAATCGGTCGGTTTTTGTTCGATTCCAACCGATTTCAGTCGATTTTTCTGGACGCTTTTTGACAGTTTTTAGTAGTGGTGCGAAAATAGTTCTTATTTTTTTATGGTACCACGTGAATGTTATGTAAGGCGCGTTGTTGATATGGTATACTTGTATTTTCCATACATAATTTAGTAATTTCGGCATTATTTATTTTTTGGGATATATAGCATATTTTTCATTAAAAAGAATTAATTTTATGACTTTGGCGCAATATACTGAAGATTAGATGACATTTGGTGAAATTAATTTTCAAAAATCTTTCTTGTTGAAATTTCAAGGAAACTTCTCTAGCGTCAAAGCAATTAACAAATAAAGTTAGTTAAGTGCTTGTGAATATTCAATGTCTGTTGACAATTTATTGCCCTTTCTTTCTCACTTTAGTTTTCTTCTTTTTTACTGTCCAATCATAGTTCTAACATCATTTTCTAGTTTCACATGTAACATATGAGACCTTGTCCTAATACTAGCTGTTATCCTCCATTACCTACTGGTCTTTCTTTCTTTTATTTTGGAGCTTTGTTCATAATTCCATGCACCAATTTAGCCTTTGACTCTGGATTATTTTATTATTTTTTGGTCCCTTTAGATTCTTCTTTGGAAATTTTCAAATAAAATGTGCCACATTCAACAACTAATAAAAAAAGGTTTTGGTTGCTTTCACTTTTTTGACTTGGCCATAAAAAATTTAATTTTTTCGATTTTTTTTTAAAATTAGTGTTTGGCATGAAAAATTCAATTTCACTAGTTGAATTTTGGAATTTTTCGGAAATTTGAAAAATTCCAAAAAGTTATTTTTCAAAAATTCCACTTCAAAAATAACAACAACAACATACTCAGTATTATCCCACACCATGGGGTCTGGGTAAGTTAGTGTGTACGCAAACCTTGCCTCTAACTTGTGAGGATAGAGATTCATAAAAATTCAAAAACAGTTCCAAATTGTATTCATGTCAAAACACAACTCTAATTTTCAAATACTATTTTCACTTAAAAATATCCACTTTTTTCCGTAATTTCACAATTCTTATGCCAGTCTTGCTTTTTGTCAGTCTTGCTTGTGTTAGAAATGTGTAGAAAGGTGGTTGTGCTTTTTATCATTTTTCTCATCCACCAAATAGAAAATAGAAAATCTTCTCTCCATTTTTGCACTCTCAGAAATTAGACTTGTACTTCTTGAATGCTAAGTGCATCACAAAGGTGACAAGTTTTTTAAAATATAGAGGTTGTGGTGATATCAGAGATTGAGTTTATTTCAAGATTTCATTTGATCAATGACTTAAACCATTGAGTTTTTTCCTCCTCAGTTGAAGAAAATGAAAACCAATATGGATTTTGCAATATTTCAATTGCTTATTTTGGTATTGTTTATGTTGTTTTTGATGTGTTCTTCATTGGAATTTGATCCTGTTGATAACTATCTTATAGACTGTGGATCATCAGAAAATACAACTATAGGTGATAGAATTTTCTTGGCTGATAACTTGAATTCCACTCAAAGGGTATTTGTTAATACAAGTCTTGAGTTCATTCCATCTACCTATAGTTCATCTCTGTATAAAACTGCTAGAATTCTCAATGAGACTTCCAAATTCACCTTTTCGATCAAGAAACAAGGGCGCCATTGGATTCGCCTTTATTTCTTTCCATTTTCCAATGAAAAATTCAATCTAAGTTCTGCTAAGTTCTCTGTTTCTGCTCAGAACTTCACTCTTCTTAAGAACTTTCAACCACTGAATTCTCCTTTTGTAAAGGAATACTCTTTGAACATTACTAGCAATAGTTTAGTTCTTACCTTTACGCCATCTGCTACCTCATTTGCCTTTGTAAATGCTTTAGAAGTCATTTCACTTCCTGATGAGGTCATTCCTGTTGATGTTGGTATTCATAATCTGAGGACACAAGCATTAGAAACAGTGGTGAGAGTAAATATGGGAAATATTGCAGTTTTGCCTCAAAATGATACCTCGTGGCGATCTTGGGAACCTGATGAAAGATACTTAACAGGCAAGAACCTTGTCCAGTTTGTATCGAACACACGAGCTGTGAACTACACGAGAGGAGGGCCTTCTCGGAATATTGCTCCTCCGTTGGTGTATGGAACTGCCACGAGGCTGCAATCCGAGAAAGATCCTAATACGTTAGCAAATGTAACGTGGTCGTTTGATGTTGATCCTGGTTTTGATTATTTCATCAGATTCCACTTTTGTTACATAGTAAAAGGCCCCTCTGGTGATCTAATATTCAATGTTTTCCTCAATTCTCAGTTTGTTTTCAAGTACCTTGATCTTAACAATGAGACATCAAATGTCTTTGGTGCTCCATATTACATGGATGTTGTCACAAGGTTAGACAACAGAAATAGCATTGGCATTAGCATTGGTCCAACAGATGTACGTAATGCATATCCGGATGGACTCTTGAATGGTCTCGAGATCATGAAAATAAGCAATTTTAAGGGCAGTCTTGATGCTTCAGACGTTGAACTTCAGTCCTCATTGCCTGCTTCTAAGACTAAAACATGGTTGATTCTTGGATCAACTATTGGAGGATCGATAACTTGCATTGTTTTGGTTGTGTTGTCTGTTCTTCTTTGCAGAAGTAGAACACGAGCGCCAGTTGATCACTCAACTGAGGATCATCATACAACAGTTGGATCAACTACGGAGGAAAATAAATCTATCATTTCCAACTCAAATATGGGGTACTGGTTCCCTTTCAGAGCAGTTCAAGAAGCAACCGATAATTTCAGTGAAAGCATGGTAATCGGCTTTGGTGGTTTTGGCAAGGTTTACAAGGGAGTTTTGAGGGATAACACAAAAGTAGCAGTGAAGAGAGGATTTCCTCAATCACAACAAGGTCTTTCCGAGTTCAAAACTGAAGTTGAAATGTTGTCTCAATTTAGGCATCGCCATTTGGTTTCACTGATCGGTTACTGCAACGAAAAGAATGAGATGATAATTATTTACGAGTACATGGAAAATGGAACACTTAAGGATCACTTGTATGGCTCAGACCTTCCAAATTTGAATTGGAGACAAAGGCTTGAAATTTGCATAGGATCAGCAAAAGGACTTCACTATCTGCACACTGGTTCTCAGAAGGCAATTATTCATCGCGATGTCAAGTCTTCCAATATATTGCTTGATGAAAATCTCAGGGCTAAAGTTTCTGATTTTGGACTATCGAAAATTGGTCCTGAAATTGATCAAACACATGTTAGTACTGCAGTTAAAGGGAGTTTCGGATACCTTGATCCTGAGTACTTAACAAGGCAACAACTAACTGAGAAATCTGATGTCTATTCCTTTGGAGTAGTTATGTTTGAAGTTCTCTGTGGCAGGCCTGTTATTGATCCATCTCGTTCAAAAGAAATGGTAAATTTAGTTGAATGGGTGAGAAACTGTTTAAGGACAGGAGATTCAGAAACAATTGTTGATTCAACTATTGTACGCGAGATAAGACCAGAGTCTTTGATAAAATTTGTAAAGACTGCTGAAAAATGCTTGGAAGAATATGGTGTAGATCGACCGACTATGGGAGATGTTTTGTGGAACTTGGAATATGCATTGAAACTCCAAGGAAAAGATGAAAAAACAAGACAAGAAAATGAGATATCTGAAAATCAGTTGGAAAACAGTGTGTTAAGTACAGAATTCAGTATGGGGAGTATGGCTGATCTTGCTGGTGTTTCAATGAGTAAGGTTTTTAGCAATATGGTAAAAGCTGAAAACAAAGATTCATGTGACATATGTTAGATCCTAAAGATACAATGCAGGTCCATCTTTTGAACTGCCTATGGATGGTATATTTTGTATTCTCTTTTTTATAGATTCTCTTGGTAAAGTTGTTGACATGTGACCAGGAGGTCACAGGTTCGAGCCGTGGAAACAACCTCTTGCAGAAATGCAGGGTAAGGCTGCGTACGATAGACCCTTGTGGTCCGGCACTTCCCCGGACCCCGCGCATAGCGGGAGCTTAGTGCACCAGGCTGCACTTTTTTTTTAATAGATTCTGTATGCTTCTATTGCGCGATAGAGCAGTTCAAACGCGTCTGGTTGATAAGGTTGATGATCATTTATTTAAAATGTTGTGTCTTTATTCATAATCACAAATTCACAATTCAATGTGACAATGCTATTGCATTTATTCATCATCACAAGATTGGGATAATTCTACCCAAAAAAGTTACAGTACAACAATTTCACTGAGTGGTTCAATCAATCTCTATAAAACAGCTCAAATCCTTCAAATTCTCTTTATTTTACCAAAACCGATGGAATATATAACAATATCCTATATTTTCACATCACCCATAAGAAAAGAAGCTGATATTTTCGCAAATAATGGATTGGAAGAGGCTCAAGGAGGCGGCTATTGTTGGTAGTAAGGAAGTGAAAATAGCTTGAAATGGTGTACTCTTTGACTGTATGAAAGGGTAATGTGTACCATAAACTTTAAATTAGATGACCAATTTCATTTGTGATAAGGTTAAACCGATCGTTAAACATCACCATGCTAAATATCAAAGGTTAAAAACGAAGTGTATGCAAAAGATTATTACCATGAGCTGTGCTAATTTTTACCTTCATTGAGATTTGAGAATTAATATGCTTCATTGAATCGGTAACCACCTTAAATTAATCAAGTGATTCTCTTTCTTAACACAAATTCGACCAATTATTAACTTTCAAAAAAAGTAAATGCAACACATGAACTTCCTTTCTTAGCATAGAAACCAAAAGCATAATTATCCAAGGCTCGTTCGCAGTTCAAGATATGAAATAAAGGATCCTCTATGCTTATCACTAATACAAACAGAACAGAAAACTATTGTTAAACGGCATTACAAGTTACAGAACTTCCGCGAATTGCAGAGGAATCACACGTAACACTTACTCATTTTTTTTGAAAAAAAAATGCAGAAATGCGTAAAAGAGAGGGGAGACCAGAGGAAAGAGAGTATTACTGAATAAGAGGAAAAAAGCAAGAATGACAGTAGTTTTAATTATCTGTCTCTCATCTATAATTACCCCAATTAAATACCCAAAAACAGCATAAAGTGAGAACTATGTGATTAATGATTGATTACGAACTGACAACTGGTTAAAACACTTTACTAAGTACAGAGTAATAATCATTTGAATTACATATTTTATATCGAATAGGAACAATTTTAGGAGCCTTCAATTTTTGGGGCCTAATGCAAGACATTTATTGGCCTATGGGTAGAGCCGCCCGTGAACAAATTCTCAAACAATTTGGGGGCCATTGGTGGAAGATTTACAGGCTGAGGAGCCATGAAATTGACAATCTTTTCATGAATATTGTACCTGCAAGAACCAAAACAAGATTTTGTAATCCAGGAACTTTAGAAGTAACCTTGTATGATAGAATCGGTTAATCAATTACCGTATTTTACGACTCTTTGATGCACGGCGATCAACAATTTTTCGTTTCTTTGTTTGCAGTCTCTTCAGTGCATAGAATGCCGTCTCTGTAAAGTTTTGATAAAAAAGTGGTTAGTTTTAGGTGTTCTTTTTCCTGGAAGCAACGGTATAAAAATGCATTCTCTGCCAAAAGCAAGAACTATAGTTATGCGAACACATCGCAACAACACATTTTCTGATAAAGCTGATCTGTAGCTGTTACGTTTACAACTTTTTCATGATGGATACATGCAATCAAAACAATACCATCATCATAGAAGGTTAGCAAGGTGGATTATTTGAAACATGACCAGCTTATGTTGAGAGGAAAACGAAAAAGGGAGGGGGGCCTGACGCATCTTACCAGATGATGCAGGATCGACTGCCTCAAAAAACTCCTTCAGCAATTGTTGATAGAATTCAGAGTCATCCAGAAGCTCAGGATCACCATCCATGTTTGGTCCCTGGTCCAAGTTAAGGATAAGTAGATGTGTTTTACTCTCTAAGGAAATAATAATCCATGCAAGAGCATTCTAAAACAAAAACTAATGTATTTTCCCATAAGGAGAATGGCCAATTTCCTCTGTTGTACCAAGTGGATAAACCTGAAGCACTACTAGCATGCCTAGATTCTTCTAGGCAACACATCGACAAGGAGATTTATTGATCTAATCTTATATCAATTTGACTTCAACGACAAACACAATTCAGGCCAAACCTGGCAAAATGCATAAATAAAACACTGATACCTCTCCATTTCCAGTAGCATCTGAAGCCTGCACAAAAGCAGGTACATAAATCAAAACTAACGAAAACTAAAAATAATTATCCTGAACATTAAGAAAAATAGCAAGATCCATGTGTACAATTCAGCTGCCATTCTCAAAACAACTCACGAAGTGAGACTTACAGTTCCAAATAGTGCAACTGCCGATCTGCTCTGCTGCATTCCTTTTATCATTTTGCTAGGATCCCTCATATAACCGGCCACTTGTTGACTAATGTCCTGTACAATATCAGAATATTAATTCTAGTCATTGTGATTGTTGCTGTACGTAGCATCTTTCAAGTCCCAAAAATAAACCTGATTAAATGCTTGCAATTTGCCTTTGATTGCGGCAGCACCAGAAGTCACCTGGGTCTTTCTCTGCCATTTATCTATCGATTTGTCCCTAAAAACAGCCATCCTATGACATAAAAGAATTAGCAACATCAATTTCCAACGGCGGGCCAATTTATTTAGCAAAAGGGAGAAAGGGCAATTGCATGAGAATGCAATGCCGGGAAAAGGGCAGAGTAATAGCTGTTCTGGAACCTAATTTTGGAGTTGTGTTACTTGTAACTATGCAGATTTTGTTCCTAACTGCTATAGATGTACATAAAATCTGACTCCAGAACAACATTAATAATGGGGCTTAGGACATTCTTCACCGGAAGCAGGACCTAACTGCATAGAAGAATGGAACAGATTATGAGAAACAATGACTAGAATAAAAGCAATCAAAAAGGTCATCTACAACACCAGTTCCAGGGCATATAACCCCAAATAAAAGCAACCAAAAAGGTCATCTACAACACCAGTTCCAGGGCATATAACCCCAAATATCCCCCCAACCCCCCAAAAGCCGCAATCTCATTTCCAGCAGCCTGTCATCTATCCCTTTTTTAATTAGGGGCAGCCTGCCCTCTACCCTTTGCCCTCTGAATTAGACAATTAAATTAACAAAACCAACACGGC